ACAAACATGAATAAAACATAACTACACGTACCTTTTCTTTTTTTAAAAAAGCAAACAGCAGCATACTCGCACCTTGCTTTTTTCACTTCACACATTTTGGAGACATTTCTATACCGATGCTTAAAGAGGTTCTTCATTTTTTTTTTTAAGATTTTATTTACTTATTTGAGAGAGAGAGAGAGCATTCACGCAAACAGGGAGGAGGGGCAGCAGAGATGGAGAAGCAGACTCCCCGCCCAGCAAGGAGCCCAATGCGGGGCTCGATCCCAGGACCCCAGGATCATGACCTGAGCTGAAGGCAGATGCTTAACGACTGAGCCACCTAGGCGCCCTAATAAAATCTTTTCTAAAAAACGGCTTTACTGTGCTCTCTTTGGGAGCACATATACTAAAAATAGCTTTACTGATAAAGTCTGCACAAAACTCATCCACTGTAAGTACATTGATTTTTAGTAAATTCACAGAGTTGTGCAGCTTTGAGTACACTCAGTTTTAGAATCCTTCCATCATCTCTAAAGCTCCTTCGAGTGGCTTAGAGTTTAATCCTCACCCCCACCCCCCACCCCACTAACCACCAAGCTGTTTCCCGTCACTATGGCTTGCCGTCTCTGGAAATTTCATACGAATGGAATCATACAATATGTGGTCATTTATGTCTGGCTTCTCTTACTGAGCATCATGTCTTTGAGGTTTATCCATGTTGTAGCATGTTTAATTAGTTTGCTCCTGAGTAGCATTCCATTGTATGGGTACTTCACATTTTGTTTTTCCACTCACAACTCGATAGATAGTAGGACATCGACAGGTTTTTATAGTGTGAATAATGCTGCGATGAGTGTTCGCATCCACGTCTTTGTGGTGCCCATGTTTTTATTCCTGCTGGGTAGACAGATACCTAGAATTGCTGGGTCATGTGGTCAGGTTTTGTTTCACTTTTTAAGAAACTGTGAAACTGCTTTCCAAAGTGGTGGCACCATGTTACATTCTCCCCAGCAATGTCTGAGCATTCCAATTTCCCCACATCCTCGACGACACTTGTTATGATCTGTCTTTTTGATTATAGCCATGCTAGAGTGTATGGAGGGGTATCTCATGTGGTTTTAATTTGTATTTCCCTGATGGTCAGTGAAATGGAGCATTTTCATGTGCTTATTGGCCATTCATGTATCTTCTCTGATAAAATGTCTATTCAAATCTTTTGTCCATTTTTAAATTTAGTTGTCTTATTATTGAGTTACAAGACTTCATTCTTTTTTTTAAAAAAAGATTTTATTTTTATTTATTTGAGAGAGAGAGACAGCGTGCCTGCATGTGCACAAGCAGGGGGAGTGGGAGAGGGAGAAGCAGGATCCTCATTGAACAGGGAGCCCAATGCGGGACTTGATCCCAGGATCCTGGAATCATGACCTGAGCTGAAGGCAGATGCTTAACCGACTGAGGCACCCAGGTGCCCCAAGACTTCATTTTTTTTTTATAGCTCGGTAGTTGGTCTGTTGTATGGATAGGCCATAATTTGTTTCTTATTGAAATCTCTTTAAAACTTTCGTTTTATGTATAATTTTCTCAAAATATATACACTTTTATAGTGGTCATACTATATTAGTGTAATAGTATATGTTCCTGACATAAATAAGTAAAGAAACACATTTGGGGGGATATATTCTCAAGTTATTTTCCTGAGAGGGTATCAAGAAAGCTTGGTGACTCCTGGCTTGAGCCTTTATCCTCCTGCCAGCCAGCCTCACCCCATCCTTCAGGCCTGTTTCAGCCATCCTGAGCTTCGTAGAAATCGTGTTAAAAGCCTAATCCTTGGGCAGCCTGGGGCCCCCAAAGAGCCTGATCATTGTCCCCTAACTGATGGGGGAATCTGAGACTCAGAGCGCCCCCCCACCCCGGACATTTGGCACAGTCTGACTTTCCGGGGTCCTGTGGCATGACGCCTCCCTTAATTTGGGGAGCTACAGAATGGATAACTTGATGAAGTGTTCCTGTGGGGGTTCCTGAGGCCAGCAGGGCAAGGAGAGCTCAAAGTCCTGGAGCTTGCTTTGGGGTCGATGCTGCCGGTCAATCCCGGTGCTCTGTCCTGACCCCCCCCCCAGGCTTGTGTCTGCCCAGCCTGACGACATGGGCTCACTCACAGGCGAAGCTCAGAGTGTTCCTCCCTCCCTGGTTTGTTCCTTCATCTTCTTCATCATCTCCACCATCATCGTTGCCACCATTTATTGCAGAAGTACCTTGTGCCTGGATAAAACATTTCATCCTCTCACCAAGCTCCTGAGGTAGAGCTTAGTCGTTCCATTTTGCCGAAAAGGAAACAGAGGGTCAGGTGGGTGATGCATCTTGTCCTTAAGGGATAGCGGTGGAATTCACGCACAGGTTGACTAACTCCAAAGCTCATACCTTTGGTCCATGACCCTGCGCTGGAGGGGTTTCTGCTGATTTTCCTCTGATTCCTGGCAGACATCTCGGAGATATCTCTGATGAGGGCAGTTTCCGGGGAGGAATTGAGAGGTGAGAATTGAGGGTAAGTCCCTTGTCCTGGGTTAGGGCAGCTGCTGAGCAAGTACTCTTCAGGGCAGGACAGAGATGAGGCGGGAAGTGAACACTGGAGAGCCTGAGGGTCCCAGAGCGTGGCCACCTCTGCCCTTTCCCCACCCCAGCCTCAGGCTCAGCCCACAGGGTGGGAGAGAGGAGGTTAAGCCCAGAGTAGGTACTCAGGCTTTCTGTGCTTTGGGAAAGCTAAGCTCTGTAATCACATTAGGGTTTCCACTTTCCCTGTTTCTCAGTGAGCATTTCTACTGGAAAACTCTAGCCTTGTCTGAGCTGAACCAAAGGAGAAGGGATCTGTGGGTACCCAGGGCACCCAGGGGGATGGGGAAGAACGGGGGGTTAGGGCCCCTCTGGCAGATAGTATCAGTTCTCAGGAGCTCAGATCTGATGACCCATCCTTGGCTCCAGAACCATGCATGAATGCCTCGTAAATCCAATCCATATCCCCTTGACCGGGCATTCAAGGACTTTCCCTCATTTGGCTTCAGCCTTTGCCACTCTCTGTGCTTACCTCCAGGTTTTTGCTCACATTGTTCCCTCTGCCCTGAATGTTCTTTCCTCCCCAACTCCCTAGCTCTACCATTCAAACCACAATCATCCTTCAAGTCCCAGCCCAGAGGCATCCTCCTTCATGAAGCCTTCCTTGATCTCCTTAACTAGAAATGACATCTCCCACCTCTGAACTCCCACAGCCCCTGGTTCATAATTGTTTGAGGGCACATTTCACTGTCCTACCAGCAGTAGGCTCTGACTGTTACCCCACTCAGCATTCATCTTCCTTCTGATCATAACACCCCAACTTTCCCCCACCTTCGGTCATGTGATCCCGAAGAAGCTGACTGTACCCCAGGATCTAGAGAGGGGCCTGTGACCCAGGCCTAGCAGTCAAAGCATCACATCTTCTCTTCTACCACCCCACCCCTATCCCCAGCCACTCCAGAAATTGGTTCACGGTCAGGCCTAGGACCCAGAGTCCATTAAATCAGGGCTTTTCTAGTGTGATTAGGAGATGGGCCCACCCTTTCAGGTGAGACTGATAAACACAGAATATAGTCCTGGGAGTACGAGCTTCAAGAATGAAGCCAAAACAAAGAAAAAGCAGAGTCAAGCAGATTGCATACAAGGGCTTGGAATCAACGAAGCCTGGAGTTGGAATTTTTTCAGACATGGGAGCAAAATATTCCTTCTTTGAGTTGGTTCAGTGGATAACTCAGAGCAGGACTTAAGGTAACAGCTAACCTAGAGGACCAACAAAAAGAGAAAGAAAAGATTTCAGCTTTGATAAACTTAACTTGGAATTTTGCAGTCAGAAAGTCTGAAGAGTCAATGTGAATTTTGGCATGCACACGCATTACACACAGCATTTCAAAAAACAGTGTTTTAAAAAAATAGTGTTCCAGGGGCGCCTGGGTGGTTCAGTTGGTGGAGCGACAGACTCTTGGTTTCCATTTCAGGTCCTGATCTCATGGCTGGTGGGATCGAGCCCTGCGTCGGGCTCCATGCTCAGCAGGAGTCTGCTTGGATATTCTCTCTTTCTGCACACCCCCCTCCCCACTTGCTCTCTCTCTCTCAAATAAATAAATAGGGCACCTGGGAGGCTCAGTCGGTTAAGCATCTGTCTTAAGTTCAGGTCATGATCCCAGGGTCCTGGGATTGAGCCCTGCATTGGGCTCCCTCCTGAGTGAGGAGTCTGCTTCTCCCTCTCCCTCTTCCCCTACCCTCTGCTCGTGCTCTCTCTTTTACACTCTCTCTCTGTCTCAAATAAATAAATAAAATCTTTAATTAAAAAAATAATAAAATAAATAAATAAATCTTGAAAAAAAATAGTGTTTCAGCAAATAGCATTTGAATCTGAATTACTTTCAGAAGGGAGACGTACACAACCTTTTCTCTCTAGATGTCCAGTTACCTGTAACTGAAAAATCCCTGACTCATACACTCCCCTGTGTTGTGTTTTTCTATAGCTATGTCCTACTTGAGCCTACAGGATAGAAGCTCCTGGAAGGCAAGGGCCACAGCCTCTTGCCTTTATGCTCCCCCAGCCCCACACAGACACTCTGGGACGAGTGTTTGAGAACTGTCTGGGTGGGGAGTGAACACTCTCGCTGTCCAGGCCCAGGCAGGAGCCAGCCCAGGGTCCCGAGACCCACACCCTCTCCCCAGGCCTGACCTGACAATGGGCAGCCCTACCCTGGGCTTCCTGCCTGCCACACCCAGCCAGTGGCTCCAGAGCCAGCGGGGGCCAGAAAGCGGTGATTGCCCAGATTGCAAGAGCTCTGCGTCCACAGGGATACATCTCAAAGACAATGTGAGGCTCAGAGAGACTTCCAGGCACTCGGGCCAGCATCTGGAGAGGAGCCAGTGGTATCCGGGCCTTAGCTTCTGGAAGCTGTGTTGGGGGTGGAGACAGAGGGGCTGTGCCAAAAACAAGCAGCTTGGGAAAGCAGCAACGGGGAGAAGCCTGATGCCGGGTGGAGGAGGACCCAGAATGAGAGGGCAGGTCCAGGGAGTCCCTGCTGCCCAGGGGATCAGGGAGACCTTCGGTGCTCTCCCATCTGCTTCTGGGGGCTTGTCTCGGAGCCGTCACCTCGGCCCCATTCTTACTCTGCAACTCTCCAAAGTGTCTGAGGGACTCTGCTGCCTGTAGCCAGGTGGGTACAACGGTGCTGTGTTGGGTGTCCTGTTCTGGTGTATTAGTCAGGAGCGGCCATGGTGCGCTGCGGTAACAAGTTAACCTCCCGATCTCAGGGCTGTAGCACAACAGAGGCGAATGTCTCGTCCACACGAAGCTCCTGCAGGTCGCACAGCTCTTCAGGTCAGCTGTTCTTTCTACAATGGCCCGCTTCCTTCTAGTGGTTCCTCCCTTTCAAGCCATGGCCTCTGTCATCACCACGAGTGGGAAAGAGAGAACAGGAGGGTCGGACACCAGGACTTAAATGCTTTGCTCCCGAAATGACATGTGTCCCTTCCATTCACAGCCCACCAATCAGAGTTGGTCACACGACTGCAAGGAAGGCTGGGAAATGTGAAGGAGCACAAAGCTATCCAGTGAGCACTGGGTGCCTCTGCCACATGGGGTTCCCAGGGAGAAGGGACACAGAGGCGCAGAGGAATTAGCAGACTTTGAAGTTGGATATGTGGGTTCAAACCCAGCCTCCACCAACCATTAGCTCTGTGACCCTGGGAAAGTTCATTTCTCTGAGTCTTGCTTTTCTCGTCTGCAGAACGGGGAAAAAATAAAGTCCCTGCCTCATTAGACTGTTGAGAAGATTAATCAGATAGTGCTCATAAAAAGTACCTAGCAATGCCTGGCGTATGGTAAGCACTAACAAATACACGTTATTTAATTAGTCTCAAGTTGCTTAGAAAAAGTTGAAGATGCTCAACATGTGATTGACAAATCTAGCTGAGACACCAGCAAAGCGAGACATCAGGCCCACAGCTGTCCATGCCCTAAACTCAGAGTGCCCTTGCCTCCTTCCCTCCCTTCTAGAAGGATCTATACGGACCCTCAGTATGAAAGAATTCTGCTCTCTCTCCCAAGGCACATGTGTCTGAAGCCTTGGTGTCAGTTGTGGGGAGAAAGCCTTAGTCCTTGGTTGAGAGAAGTCCAAACATTGTGAGTGTATGAGGAAGGGGGAAATCTGGCCCCACACGTTGCTCCTGCTCAGAGAATGGGAGACCTCAGTGTGGATATTAAGATTCCTAAAAAGCTTCTTGGAAGGGTCAGATTTAGGTAAGTGCCTGGAAGGAGGGGAACCTGGGGAGGGCATGGTGGCTGAGTGAGGTGGAAAGCAACTTCGGAGACAGAGGAAAACCATGAGACACCCAGGCTGGGGATGGGACTTGTCACATCCAAACAGCCCTCTACAGTTTACAGAGCAAGCTCACAGGGCTCCGTGGCAGGGATGGCAAAATCCAAGCTCTTCTTGCCAGTGTTGAGTTGTCGCTGGGAAAGAGCTGCTGAGCCAGGGGCCACATCTTCCAAGCTCCCTTGCATCCAACTGTTGCCCCACGACAGGTCCTTGCCAATGGAAAGTGAGCGAAAGTAAAGGGCGTCACCTCTGTACCAAGGCTTTTGCCAAGTACTTATGCCTTCGACGGGGTTTCTCTCCCCTCCAATTAGATGGGTGCCAAGGATGACAGTCAGACCAGGGGATGGTAGAGCCTCAAAACGCAAAAAGCCTGGTCTCTAAATCACGGCATTGGAGGAAAGCCACCCGCAATCCAGGAAGAGCTGCTGGGAACTGGTACACGAGTGAGAAAGAAACACAATATATTTGGGGGCTTCATTGTTACAGCAACTGGCATTGTTGTAAAGCATGGTAGGTACACCTTTCCTTGAAGGGGCTTCGGGGGCATCGTGGGGAGTACAGAGGGGTGACAGCCCCCCTTGGCACAGCCACTGCCCCCCAACATTCCTTTTGCCCAGCCACGGGGCACCCCCGTGGCTTCGTCCCCTCCCTTTCCTCGCACACCCTTCCTAATGGAATGGGGACAGGACCCAGGAGTTTCGGTTTGTTCAGTTTCTGCTTCTTGAGAATCTTTCCGTAGAGCATGACATGGAAGTTTTGGCCCTTGTGAGAGGTGTGGGCAGCTGACTCTATAACTGGGTGGGGTGACGTGAAGAAATGGGGCTGGAGAAACCATTGAGGGTGGCAGAAGGTAGGGGACAGCTGACAGCCAGCCCAGGAGTGTGGCTGTGATATTTTGAGCAAAGTAAATCGCAGGTGCTTCTGCTTCCATCACCTCCCTACAGGCTGAGCCAGTGAGGACCAGAGGCCGTGTGGCCTCTCACAGAGAGGCAGAATGTGCCCCTGGGGCCAGCTTAACTGTCCACAGAGGCTCCTCCCAGGCCAGGGTGGCAGTGGCCCCCCCAGAGGGCTGGTGGATGAGGCAGTTCAGCAGCTCAGAGGGCTGGGGAAGGGGGCACAGGAGCACATTTCCAAGGCTCCAGTTTTGGCAGCAGCCTCTCCTAGGAGGGGGTTGAGGACAGGCTTCCTTGCTTAGGAACGGGAGAGAGAAAGGAAGCTGGCCTTCCCTGCCGTATCATGCATCAGCCCTCCCTCCCATCCCATAAGCCACATGTCTGTCACCCCCTCCGCCCCTCTGCAGTTGCCTGCAAACAAATGGCACCCCACCCCATCCCCGTTTCCCCACACCTAGGACCTCCTGAAGGTCTGTCCTTTCTGTCACTGTCTGGCTTTTTCAGCGCTGTTGCCACTGCTAGAAAATGAAATCTGAAAAATTTCATTTAACAGCAGCATGAAAAAAAACCATGAAATATTTTGGAATAAGTTTCACAAAAGATGTGCAAGATCTGTGCACTGAGGACTATAAAATATTGCTGAAAGAAATTCGAAGTTCAAGAAGACCTAAAGAAGTGGAGAAATATGTTCATGGACTGGCAAGACTCAATATCGAGCATCAATATTGAGATGTCTGTTCTCTCCAAAATGATCTTTAGATGCAACCCAATTTCAATCATAATTCCAGTAGATTCTTTTGTAGAAAGTCACATGTCCGAAAATTTTTATGGAAATGCAAAGGACCTGGAATATTCAAGGCTTCTTGAAAAAGAACAAAATTAGAGAATTTACCCTACCTAACTTTATGATTTATTATAAAGCTATAGCAATCGAAGCATTGTGGCATGATCACAATGACAAACAAATAGATCAATGGAATAGAAAAGAGAACCCAGAAATAGACCAACAATTAAACAGTCATTTGATTTTTTTTTATACAATGACCAAAGAGTTTCAATGGGAAGCGGAAAGTTTTTTCAACAAATGGTGCTGGAACCGGCTATCCGTATAAAATAAATAAATAAATAAACTTCAGCTCCTCCTTTACACCATTCACAAAAACTGATTTTAAATGAATGATAGGTCTCAATCAAAAACTAAAATCATAAAGCTTCTGCAAGAAAATGTAGGAGAATATCTTTAAGACTTAGCGGTAGGCAAAGGTACCTTAAAATAGATCACAGAAAACAGTAACTTTTTTTTTTTAAGATTTTGTTTAATTGACAGAGAAAGACACAGCTAGAGAGGGAACACAAGCAGGGGGAGTGGGAGAGGCAGAAGCAGGCTTCCCGCTGAGCAGGGAGCCTGATGCAGGGCTCGATCCCAGGACCCTGGGATCATGACCTGAGCCGAAGGCAGACGCTTAACGACTGAGCCACCCAGGCGCCCCAACAGTAACTATTTTTTAAAAGATTTATTTATTTATTTATTTGACAGAGAGAGAGAGCACAAGCAGGCGGAGTAGCAGATAAAGGGAGAGGGAGATCAGACTCCCTGCCAAGCAGGGAGCCCGATGAGGGGCTTGATCCCAGGACCCCGGGATCATGACCTGGGCCGAAGGCAGTTGCTTAACCAACTGAGCCACCCAGGCACCCCAAACAATAATTATTTTTAAAAGATTGATATCTTATACTTCATCAAAAAAAAAAAAAAACCTTCTGTTCAGCAAAATATACCATTAAGAAAATGATAGCAAGCTTCAGACTGAAAGAAAATATTGGCAAAATATATCTGACGAAAGACATGTATACGGAATATATAAAGAACCCCTACAACTCAATAATAAAGAGATAGAGAACTCAATTTTTAAAATAGACGAAAGATTTGAATAAAAACTTCACAAAGGGAAATATACAGATGGCCAAGAAGCACAGGAAACAGTGCTTAACATCATTAGTCATTAAGAAAATGCATATAAAACCACAATGAGACACCAGCATACACCTACTAAAATAGCAAAAATTAAAGACTGACAGCATCAGACGTTGGCACTGGAATAATCAGAACTCTCACGCATTGCTGGAAGGAATGTAAAATGGCACAACCACTTTGGATAAAGATCTGGGAGTTTTGTTTGTTTGTTTTTTTAAAGATTTTATTTATTTATTTGACAGAGAGACACAGTGAGAGAGGGAACACAAGCAGGGGGAGTGGGAGAGGGAGAAGCAGGCTTCCCACCAAGCGGGGAGCCCGATGCGGGGTTCGATCCCAGGACCCTGGGATCATGACCTGAACCGAAGGCAGACGCTTAACGACTGAGCCACCCAGGTGCCCCAAGATCTGGGAGTTTCTTAAAACAAAACCTATCTCAGCAATTCTACTTCTACCTAAGAATAATGAAAGCATATGTCCACAAAAAAAAATATGACCACAAGAATGTTCATAAAGGCTGAAAACTAGAAACAGCTCTGATGACTATAGCAGAAGAATAAATAATTTCTTCTGGTATAATAGGATCCCTTTATAAAACATAAAGGGATTTACTTAGCAATGAGAAGAATTAATTACCTATACATGCAACATCATGAACGAATCTCCCATTGTGCTGAGAGAACAAAGCTAGACACATGAAAGTACGTATGATACAGTTTGACTTATTTGAAGTCCTAGAATAGGTAATACTAATCTCTGGTTTAAAAAAAATGAGAATAATGGTTACCTGGGTAGGGGGAGGAAGGGACTGGGAAGAAGCATGGGGGATTTTCTGGGGTGATGATGATGTACTATCTCTTGATAGGGGTTTGAGTTATACAGGTGCGGGCATTTGTCCAAATTCACCCATCCTTGAGATTCATGTATAATTAAGATCTGGGCATTTCTCATATATAAATTTTACCCCAAAAAAGATAAACAAATACTGAACTCTTGTTAATTATACACATCCTGAAATGTTTCCGGATAAAAGATACTGATGTCCACAACGTTCTTTGAAATGATTCAAAAAAATAAAAAGATGGAAGGACAGGTGGATAGGCAGGTGGACGGAGAGAGATGTACGGATACATGATTAAGCAAATAGAGCAAAGTGTTAACTGTAGAATCTAGTTGGTAAATGAGCACTCACATAAAATTCTTTTAAATTTTCTGTATGTTTGAAATTTTTCTTAGTAAAATGTTTTGGGGGAAGAAAGCAAAACAAATTGTTCACTGCTGTAACCTCAGCACCTAGAACAGTGCCAGAGCATGCCGTAGGTGCTCAATAAATGCTTGAAGAAAGAAAGAAAGAAAGAAAGAAAGAAAGAAAGAAAGAAAGAAAGAAAGAAAGAAAGAAAGAAAGAAAGAAAGAAAAGAAAAGGAAAAGAAAAGAAAAGAAAAAGAGGCGAGGAGACAATTTCAATTAGAATATAAAAGCAGGGTGCCTGGGTGGCTCAGTTGGTTAAGCGACTGCCTTCGGCTCAGGTCATGATCCTGGAGTCCCGGGATCGAGTCCCGCATCGGGCTCCCTGCTCGACAGGGAGTCTGCTTCTCCCTCTGACCCTCCCGACCCTCCCCCCTCTCATGCTCTCTCTCTCAGTCTCTCTCTCTCAAATAAATAAATAAAATCTTTAAAAAAAAAAAAAGAATATAAAAGCAGTTCCTCAGGAGTACCTTCACCTTCCCACCTCCCCATCTGTACCAAATTCTCTTTCTCCTTATGACAGTTGGAAGAGTGTCACTGCTCCTCTCCAAGACCACTGGCTCCCTATGCTGCAGATACCATCTCCTCTCACCTTATCAAGAACTGGACTCCTGAGAGGTTCTACCCTATCTGTCACCAGCAATTCCTCCTCTGAATCAGATCATTTCATTTGCCTCTATTGTCTCCAGTTGTTTCAAACTCCTCCTTGACCCCATGTGCACATCCAACTACTGTGCCATTTCTTTGTTCCAGTGGTTCTGTTGATATGCTGTATTACATTCATTGATTTTTGGATGTTAAACCAACCTCACATGGCTGGGATAAATCCCACTTGATCATGGTGTATAACCCTTCCAATATGTTGCTGGGTTTGGTTTGCTAGTATTTTGTTGAGGATTTTTACATCTCTAGTCATTATTTTTATTGGGCTCTAGTTTTCTCTTTCTTTTTGTACTGAATTTTGCTTGGTTTTGTTATCAGGGTAGCGCTGGCCCCATAGAATGAGTTGGGAAGTGTGTAGTTTCTTTCTGACTAATCTTTTTGCTCGAGCTTATCTCTTGATCTTTACAACACTGAGAAAAAGCCAAGGCCAGGGAAGGTTTAGCTGGGGTTCTCGACATGAGCACACATCACAATTAACTGGGAACTTGTTCAAAGCAGATTCTTAGGTCTTGGCTCTGGAGATTCTGACTCAGAAAGTCTGCAGCGGGGCTGGGGATTCTGTATTTCCAACAAGCACCCCCAAGAGATTCTGGGATGAGTGCCCTCCCATTTCACGTTAAGAAACATTGACACAGCTAAGCAGCCACAGAGGATGGGTTAGAAAAGTAATGTTTCTTCATCCAGGAATCTCAGAGTTTTCAGTGTGTTCAAGGTCTAAGGGGGAAACTAGAGTATG